AAGGATTTCAGAAATCACAAAGAACGTCTGATATCATAAGAAGCACTTCATATCATCAAATGGAATCTAAATTGTCTGAGCTGAATATGAATGATGGACTAAAACAGAATTTGACCTGGTTACAACACCTACCTTCCCCATAAAGTAATAAAATCAACACGAATGTGATAAGCAATCTCATTATGTAAACACACGCTGTGTTTATAATTTTACACACTTATCAAATTCAACAATCTGCACACACTTGGTTTTGTTATCTTTACTAGTTGACCAATTTGACAACAACGCAACTGAGGAACGATGATACAATTTGTTATATAGAAGCTCAGTGGATTTTTTAAATTCTGGTTTAATGTTACTACTTTGATAAAGCTATAAGCACCAGCATTAAATAGCGAAACGTCAGTAAGAACAACAATATCGTTTTGTTTTTCATCCATTCATTTATTGGGAAATACAAAAAAACCCTTTATTTTAGATTCTCTATTCAGAAATAGAATGTCAAGCAAGGTTGGCAGAGAATTTAGTAAAGAGTTTTATACGTATAGAATGATTGTAATTAACGACAAAGAGAGTACAGTTCACTGACTGCTTTCAGCCTATACAATATCAGCTGTATTGATAAGTCACTAAGTTTATCTGTCTGTCTGTTTTCAGCATAGAACTTTTCACCGATGTGCAGAACTTCAAGTCGCCACACTCCCTCCTTTTAGCACCCAAATCAAGAGAAGAAAGTAGAAGAAATGCAAAATAAAGACAGTTAACAGAGGTGTGAGACAAAGGAATAGTAGTAACAAAGAACAATACGGTTTCATTGGAAATTATTTGTCACAAGGAGTGGATGCATCTGCGCCAGCCGGCCATTGAGAATGATTTTGAGCCATATCACCAATTGTTTCCAGCCGTCATTGGCTTTTACCGTCCCGAGGACCCTAACCAGTCAAAAAGTCTACACCTTCCTACATGACTGGCTTGAACTAACTGTTGTGGATTTCATTGACTGATGGAGCCATGTTTTGGTTTGACCGCTGATAGCTCTTTTCCAGACTGACTCTATATCAGCTAACATTGCCCATCGGTTGAGGAAGGTGATGATTAGGCATACGTAAAAGTTGTCCTAACCATCTCAGTCGATGTAGCTTCACAGCCTCGTCGATTGATTTCCTCTCCTTATCTAGCACTCGACGGAAGCATAACCTCAATATTGCCCACCCTATGATCAAAGACAGTTAGCCGGCCTTTTCATGTTTTCCAATCTCAATGGCCATGTCCCATAGCCAGCCAGTCATAAAGAAGGACGGAGCGGACTGGTAAGCAGTACAAACGCCCTTTGATCGATAGCCAACCGGATGTCACGTCTACGCCAGAGATTACTTGGCATATGTGAAACTAGACCACGGTATCCGTCCTGAGATTGCGTCAGCAATCAACCCATTGGGGCTGATACAACTTCCCAAATAAGTGAAGTGGTCAACACGCTCCACCACTTCACTCCCTATTTCTAAGCTAGGAGTCAATGTAGCATCATCTTACATCTGACAGCACGAGAGAATCACATGCCAAACATTCGTAGATTCAGCTCAAGTTGTTCAGAAGACTCTACATTTTGTCACCGTCTTCACCTACTCGGGAGGACTATATCATCTGCATATTCTAAGTCAACGAGACTAGTATCCCCTGGTAGCAAGTCAATCCCTGAGTCTCTGAAGTGAGTTACGGTTAAGTCCACTCGTACATACATGATGAAATTGAATAGAAATGGGGATGGTGGGCATCCCTAACGGACACCACTAGTCGTCAACACTTCAGATGACAACTCACCAGGTTACGCAGTATCTCTCTTTGTGCCTAAAGTTAGTACTGACTAGGAACACATGGTTATCCGAACAGAACTGTAGAAGACGATCACCATTGTCGGCTCGTCAGCAGGTAACTCCATACGTATCACCTACTTACTTCCCAGTCTGGCACAACCTCTTTACTTGGGCATTGAAGTCGCCTGCTAAAACAACTATATCTGAACGTTTTGCTTTTTGCAGCAAATTAGACAGTTGCAGGTAGAAGTCATCTTTTAATTCATCCGAACTGCAGTCTGTTGGGGCGTAAGCGGAGACTACGAAAAGACGACGACGGGTAACACTGTCCTTCCTTCTTCTAACGGACCACACACATACGATAATCTACTGGGATCCAGTCAAGAAGTGATTTTTCTGCCCTAACACTCAATGCTATCCCTACAATTGCGAGTCCTCACGAAGTAGCTGAGGGGTCTCCTGACACGCTTAAAGTGAATTTTGAAGATTCGCTTTGTTGGCCGAGTGAAGTTAATTGAATGACCACACTCGGGTCTTGTATGCATGTCTCCGAAAAACAACACACATCCATGGCTCGAGATGTTAGAGTTCTTGCTAGCGTTGCCTGTCGTCCGATTTGGCAGAGGGTCCTGACGTTAAATGCTCCTATATGAAGTTGGCGACGTGGCTTTAAAAGGCTATCTGGCGTGTTTCCATGGCTCTCATCGTCGTTTGTGGTTAGAGAACGAAGTGAAGATGACTCACTAGCCTGAAGGATAGTACTAACTGTAGTAGGGGAGTAAGATGATGGAGATGATGTGGCTAAAGGAGAATGGTGCCCGGGGAGGCTCCTTGTGCTCTTGCAACTGTGTGGGCGGTTGTTACTTCGCGGCTGCCCACACCGTGGAAGTTGGTTGAATCTCCGGTTACCAAAAGCAGAAAGAGGGTTAGTGTTGCGTGACTGCAGAGCCCAGGGGACAACTGCTTGAGGCCAGTCACACACACAACCTGTCAGGAGTGGTTTCTTAGTTTGCTTCCGTATTAGTAAACTTACCGCCGGTTACGGACCACCGTAGGGTAAGTCGGAATGCACAATTTTTGGTGTCGACCTTTTCTAACCCTTTCTCTGTAGAGTGAAGACACAGCATAGCTGGCTGGCATGCTGGTCATCTGAGGGAAACACCTTACTGCTGTTAAATCCCTATTCCCTAGCAGTATGAATTTGCCTACAGACCCCCCAGCAAGGCGTAAAAAAACGTTCTTACACTAAGCCGGTAACTGATTTTAGACTAATCGCTATCCTAACAACCATCCTGACATGATAAGACCTGCAGGTGTAGTGAGAGCTGGAGGCTAGCCAAATTGGTAGGCAGTAATTTACATCAATTTTTTATGTCCCCAATATTGGTCGTGAGAAAAATAAGAACAAGGACTAATTCAACAACCAACCACAACCGACTTTGCGTAGGCTGATACAGTTTGCATATAGATGATCTGACATTCAAGAAACAGCCACAAACAGATGAAAGATTAACTTTCAATGAGAAACAACCAATCAGAAGACTGTATTTTTCTGCCAATAATAATCTATAATAATGTTCATGAAAATCTATAAATATGTGTTGATTTCCTAAATAAAGGATCTGTTGCCTGGCCCTTGTTTTTTGTCGTTATACAGGAACAATAGTTTAAGCCAGTGTAGGTTGTTGGGTTACGTATGCAAACCATCGCCTCCCTCGACGAGCTATGTTAGCGGATATAGGGTCAGACTGGAAAAAAGTTAGCGGCGGTCAAACAAAAACTTGGCTGCACCAGTCAATGAAATCCACAACAGTTGGTCTAAGCCACGTAGGAAGGTGTAGACTTCCTGGTTGGGGTCCTCGGGAAGGTAAAAACAAATGGTTGGAAACAATTGGTGACATGGCTCAAAATCGTTCTCAATGGCGCAGATGCATCCACTCCTTGTGACTTACGATCTCCAATGAAACTGGTTTGTTCTTCGTTATTACTCCTTTGTCTCACACCTCTGCTCACTGTCTGTATTATGCTTTTCTTGTACTTTCTTCTCTTGCTTCGTGTGCTACACAGAGTGTGGCGACTTGAACTTCCGCACATTTGTGCAAAGTTCTATGTCGAAAACAGACAGAGACAGACAGGTTGTTGGGTTATTATGATGTGCAAGCCCGACCACCACGTCAAAGTAGCAGCTATCGATCGAGACTAAGCGTATCAGTGTCATGTGTCTAGCCCTTGATGTGTTGGTACAGATTGAATTCTAGATATGATGGAGAGGATTTGTAGCTTAGGTGGATGATTTCGATAGGTAGTTGTGTTCTCTGAACTGAAGGGTTTGATTTATTTGAAGAGCTGTCATTAGCCTCTATTGGTCAACGCCTTCAGCGCATACTTCAATTTGAATTGAAGTGAGCTTTTAGATTTCTCCATGAGTTTATAAATCATCTCTTCTGTGACCTTGAACGTGACTGGTTGTTTTTGTGTGCTTTCGCACCTTCTAGGCTACTTGTAATAGTACTGGTGTTAATTGTTTCCTTGACTTTCAGGTCTGAAGAAGTTGCCTAATAGGGCGATGACAGTTTCGCAAATAAACCATCCATTTCAGAGAACACAACTACATCAAAAAGACATCTTGGCAACTGAAATCAACTATGACGATGACGAGGCATGTAGCTTGTTGGTGTGATCACATTCCAAACTTCACTGATACTAAGGGTAAGGCAGCTAAAATCGGTCACTCTCCCTAGTGGTCAATCAGAGTATCTAGTACAATCCTACAAGAAGTTAATCGCACTAGTCCGAATAGCTTGACGATTACCTCTCTGACTGTAACATCAAGTGACACAGGTTGTCGAATCCATGGACCATGAATTCCTTGCTGACTAGTGAGTACCAACAAGCGCGGAACCTATGTCCCACATCCTAGTGATCAATCAAAGGATATAATACAGTCCTAGAGGAAGGTCAGTCATACTAACCCGAATAGCTTATTGATAACGTTTATGACTGTACTACTGTTCTGCCTGAGGCAAGTTCACACATCCCTGAAGTGTGACATGACTTCCCCTTGCTGACAGGTGAGTATCAACAGGCACGAAACCTACCTCCGGGTGGAAGGCTTTCTGCTGATGGCTTCCCCCTCCCAATCACCTAACATCATACCTACCACATACGGGATTAAAAAAAACGATACGATTGTGAAAGCAAATGTTAAAGAAGTAAAAATATCTGTATATTCTACTTTCAGATAATAAAGAAAATCATTATGGAAAATTTCTAAAGCAAAAATAAATACATAAATAAAAATATGTACACAGGGAATACTATTTACAAAGTTTAGTATTTCCAAAAAGGAGGCGGGATTCAATCATCAATTGGAGGGCAGGGAAGACGGATTAGGCTAAGCCGGGTGGGGGATTTGTAATAAAGTTAGTGGAAGCATATTAGCCTATTACTGAATTCATAGTTTATTTACACAGTATATAAAATAGAATAAAAGAATTTGTAGCTGGGTAAGCGATTACAAAAGGTAACTATACAATGCAATACAAAAAAGATAAATAAATAACTTAAAGGGGGAATTATACAGTTCATCTCATGCTCTTCAGTGAGTTTTAATTGTCTCACAGGCAGGGGCAATGAATGATTGAAACCTTTTGACAAGCTGTTTTGAGGTGAGGAAATCAACAATTTACTCCTTCATTTTCCATGCCTAAAATAATTAGAGGAAACAAGAAAACATCATAATTACTACAGAGACCTACAGAGAAACAACATCAAGACTGTCCGTATCCACCAAGTCGGTTGTGGGAACTAACAATCCTAGAGAAAGTCGTTATTATCATTCTTATTTATTATATTACTGTTTCCTGTAGTTCCTAGAGGAACATAGGGCTTCAGACTCACGTCTCCACTGCGTCCGGTTCTCTGCCAACGTTTTCAACTGGCTCTGCATCTGCTTACATGCTTTCACCTCCTCTTTGCATGATCTCATCCATGTCACTCTTGGACTGACGACCAACTCTCCGCTTCCCATTCGGCTGGGTTCCACTCGAGCGATGCCTGTCTAGTGATGTCACTCAATGGTTTTTTTAGAGTATGGACAGCCAATCCACCTCCACTTCTTCCTGCTTATTTGTCTGACAATCGGTTCCTATTTGGTTCGCTCCCAGAGATCTCCTTGTTGCTGATATTTTCTAGCCATCTGATCTTGAGCGAAGTATTGGGCGAAGACAACTGTCGATGAAGGTCTATAGTAGTTTGTTCGAAGTGTCCTTCGTGACGAGCCAAGTCTGTGGTCCGTATAGTAGCATTGACTTCACATTGGAGTTGAAAATCCGGATCTTATTTCCATTTACATGCTGAGTGCTGTTGACCTCCACACAGACTTGAGAGAAATGAAAGTTTGCCTTGCTTCGATATCCTTATCAGTTCTGTCCGCCTGTAGTTGAAAGGATGCTTCCCAGGTAGGTAGGCAAAGGAGGTTGCTTCTTTTGAAATTTCTCCCATTTACGCTGGCTGATTGTTTTCTGTTTCCTCTATGTTCACCTGAAGCCTTATATTTGATCCTTCTTATGCCAACTTGTTGCTTTTCACTTGCATATCTTCCAGTTTGTGAAAAATCAGACATGTATCACGGGTGAAATCCAGATCTCCAAGTTTTTTGTGTAGGTTCATGTTTCCTCATTGCCCGGCCCGCTGTCTGTCGCATTATCCAGTCTACCGTTCTAAATCAGAAAAATCATTGGAGACAGTAGGCAGTCAGCCAGCCAGCCAGCCTTGTCTTACTCCCGTTTTCACTTCTTCGAAGAATTCCGTAAGTTCCCCATTGTGGATTACTTAGCACACAGAAAAAATCACGAGGTACAATTTTAGGGTTGACCCATTCTAAATCCATCCCTTCCCAGAATAAAGCGGTAGCAAAGCTAGTTTTCTATTCACCTAAGAGTAACACACACCTTTACAGCTGATACATCCGCTTCAAATCCCCCCCCGCCCAACATAGTGTGAACAACTTACCGCTATCCAAACGACTTTCTGGGATGTTAGGACCTCCTCTAAGAAAATCAGTTCTATTGAGTGTATCTCAGGTGATTGCGATATTCAATCCCGTCCACCACGTCAAGATAGTAGCTATCGGTAGGGAACAAAGGACGTGTTTATACTTAAAGCAAAAGGTATTCATAATCCTTCATAACTAACCTTTATTATATCGTATTGAACTTCTTGACTCGACTGATTGACCATATGTATCCGTATGCTTTATAATTGGTCGAGATGACGGTAACGATGATTTTGGATTACTAGCAATAATTGGTTCTAAGTCAATAAGTGCTGTCTGTGAACCATCACTTTGACAACTATGCCGACGACGATTTGACAGACTTGTTGTACTCGTCATATCTGCCTTACTTATTGTCAAGGATAAATCTGCATTTGAATCATGCTCACTAATCATATCATCATTTGTGAAGACATGCGTTGAAGGATGACCACTAATCAACTGGACACTACTAGTTAGTGAGGATTTTTCATTCTCTGATGGAGAGACAAGTAGTTCATGCTTTTTACGATGTGATGAATGAGATAAGCGTTTCAGGCTTATACTAGAACCGCTAATTGCACCACTAGTAGTATGACTACCTCTACCACCAGCACTACCAGTACTACCAGCGCCTGTTTGTCCTTTTTTAGACAAAACTTTAATCCGTGTTGGACGGGATTGTTGTTGATGAGTGGAAGGAGATCGTTTCATCGTACTTGATGTTGGCATTGGACCTGGTGCTGTGGATGTTGTCGCCGTTGTTGTTGTTGTTGAGATATTTGGGTCAACAACACGAGGTTGTGAATGTTCTGTAGCTTTAAATAAAAATGATGGGAAATTGATTTTAAAATTGGAATTTGTCCGTTTGTGTACTTTGACAGTTGGTTCAGAAGTTAACTGACCGCCACCACCGCGTATAGGACTGTTAGGTGCAGGTGAATACATTGGATGGTGCAATGAACCTGTAAGATTAATCCTTGAATAGTCCAAAATTAAATAAAAATAAAAACAGAAAGAAAAGACAATCACAATTTATATCACAATAAACAGATGTCTACATACATTTTATATATAATTACAAAAGCACGGCGGTATATACTACTGATTCGTTCATTTAAGTAGTTGGATACAACTCAAATCAACAAGTCTAGTGTGTTTGCCAGCCAGCTAGCTAGGTCAAAGGGATCCATACATTATCTACAGCTGTTTCACTTGTTTGACGTCAAGGTTATCAGTCATGTACTCACTTTGTTTAAGATCAGAGTTCAAAAAGCTAATCAGAATTCGCGTGATTTGAACTGATGTGGATTTGATTGCGTGGAGGATTTCATCATGAGCTGACATCAGTTAGAGAACCACTGGAAAACCAGCTGGGAGTACTGGACAGCTGTTTCGTCCTAGTTCGAACCCAAGACCTTCTGGTTACAAGGAGAGCTAGCTCATAGACCATTTAGCCACTGAGAACCGATCCAATGGTGCATGAATTTTAACTTCTGCCAATTCATGACATAGTGCGACCATTTCGCAATGTCTTCTTCGATGAGTTACTGCCTCATTTTCAACCTGCTGTACCCTACTGGTCACAACTTCCCACTAGAACCCCAGGTTAACTGCCTGAATAGGGCCAGTCACTAGTGAGCATCAGTTGAATTTTCAAGTATTGGTGTTTTTTGTAGGGATTTTGTTTGATTGCATGGAGGATTTCATCATGAGCTGAGAACCACAGGAAAACCTAGGAGTTCTGGACAGCTGATATGGATTTCTGAGTCGAGTCAAATCATGCAGAACACTGATGAGCACAGCCCCCAAAAATCACTGATAGTCAACCAGTCAGGTTTCCACAGAAAACTTTCAACCGACAGTCAGCACTACGAGGTACCACACTCCCTCTAGATACCACACAAAGCAAGGGAAGAGAGTGAAAATAGATTCGAAAAGAAGAGATAATAAAACAAAGTGTGAGTCAGGGAAAAAGAATAGTAATATTGAAGAAAAATAGTTTTTATTCAGTATGACAAATCACAGAGAGCGGATACATCTGCGCCAGCCATTGACGAGAACGATTTTGAGCCATATCACCAACTGTCTCCAGCCACCATTGGCTTTTACCAGAATGCTTACGTAACACATGTCCTAACCACCTCAATCGATGTAACTTCACAGTCTCATAGATTGATTTCCTCTCCTTATCTAGCACTCGACCGAAGCCTAACCTCAATACTGTTCACCCTATTACACCTACCACTTCACATGGAAGATAGAACGCAGTCACCTATAATCAAAGACAGCTAGTCAAGCTTTCCATGTCTTCCACTCTCACTAACCAGGTCTCACTCACAACCATAAAGGAGGACGAAGTGGACTTCTGAGTAGTACACACGTCCTTTGATCGATAGCCAGCCGGATATTACGTCCACTAAGCCAGAGACGGCGTAAATTGGTAAATGCGAAACTAGCCCTCTGTGTCCGTGATGAGATTTCGTCAGAGATCGACCCGTTGGCACTGGCTGATGTAACTTCCCAAATAAGTGAAGATGTCAACGTGCTCTACCACTTCTCTCCCTATTTCTATGCCAGAAGTCAATGTAGTCCAGTCCTGTAGGATAATCTTACATTCGGCGGGAGCGAATCGCATGCCAAACATTCGTGGATTGCAGCTCAAGGTGCAGTGGCTTGATGGTCTATGAGCTCAACTTGTGACCGGAAGGTTCTGCTAAGTATGAGCTCCAGCGGGTGAATCCTAATGATGGGCCTTGGACCAAGACGAAACGGTTACTCAACACTCCCAGGTTTTTTTAACGGTTCCTAACAACCGATGTCGGCTCATGATGAAATCCTGTAACCGATCAAAATTCTTGCAAATCAACACTTTATTTAAGATGTTACTCAGCAACCGATTGCTACTCTATGCCATTTTCAATTAGCTACGTCTATTGTATACAGTGAGCTAGTGATACTACTATTACGTGGTCGGGTCGGCCAAGACCCATTCGGTAGGTGCAGGAGGGTTCGAACCTATGACCTCTCCCCCACTGGGCTGAAGTCAAGTGCCTAGACACCAAATGAGCCAGCTACAGCTCGAGCAGTAAATTTTAAAATACCTTCCACGTGATTAGACTAGCAAAACTTACGTTTGTAATAAACTTGATTGTAACTCACAAAGTCGTGTATATTCTGCCTCGCCAAAAGGCTGAAAGGAAAATGAAGACAAGAATATATATTGAAGGATTAAAATAGTAGTCACCTGAATGGAAAGGCGATATTTAAAACAAGCAACAAATGTGTTTAATAAAGTAGGATTTAATGAATTCGTCAAATTTCGGTAGAACTCGTCACCTGCTCACTACTCTACATACACGGATATATACATATATACTTTTGAATTTACATTGGGAGATATAAGTCTGATAAGTAAACAAACTACATTGAATTAGTCATGCAGAAAGACACGCGTGAATGTTTTCCAGGTCATGTTCAAATAGATAAGGGGAGAGAAAGTATGAAAGATCAAAATTAAGATAAATTGCATTACGCTTCAATTACATGACTTAGATAAACAATTAGTCATTAGGGAATATAACGAGAATTGCAAACAGACTAATATCAATAGTAATAGTTATAATAACAGTTTTAATAGTGTTGAAGTGAGTTAATATAATCTTACTGATAAAGCATAGTTTTAGATGAATCAAGAATAATAATAATAAGAAGAAGAAGAGGTAGAATAATAGAAATAACAAGTAGAGAATAATAAGTAAAACGTATTAACCACGGTAGATTCAGAGTCACTACCATCTCCTTTTGTATACAGAGAGCTGGTTTATAAATTCGAATTGTACAAGCCACTGCAATTGCAAGCATCTTCTTGTTTCTTTGTTTGCTGACAATGGTGAACGACTTGACCGCGTCGGTATCATGTCTGTAATCCACAAGGTGTGGATTAATCTTAATTTTGATCTCTCATACTCTCTCTCTCCTTATCTATTTGAACATGACCTGGAAAACATTCCCACCTGTCTTTCTGCATAACTAATTCAATGTAGTTTATTTGCTTATCGGTCTTATATCTCCCAATGTAATTTCAAAAGTGTATATATGTATATATCCGTGTATGTAGAGTAGTATTCAGTTGACGAGTTCTACCGAAATTTGATGATGAATCCATCATTAAATCCTGCTTTATTAACCCCTTTATTGCTTGTCTTAGATTCGTATCGGGAAATAAATGTCTTCAATTCTTGAAAAGGCTATATTAGTTGTATAAGTCATTGCTATAATAATAATAACTGATGATAATGACTTCAGTAAAACGAAGTCAACCAGGTGTCTGGCCATCGCACATGAGAATAAATTCGCTATTTTTCATACCGAGACTTTTTAGAGATATATACTCAAAGAATCTAGTGAGTGCTCTCCTTTCAGTCCTTCTTATTCACTTGGTACCGTAAGTGTATTAGTGAACTGGTAAATGCAGTTGGAGTTAACACAAGCATATTATATTGTAAAGCGGAATTAGTCTAGAGGCGGGAAATGTTCTTTTTAATGCACCGCCCCTCCATACAACTGTCTTTTTACAATAGACAGATAGATATAAACTGGTTTCTTGTCAACTGTTTCGTGTTTCAGTTTAGACGTTTGTTTACGCTCAGGGATATCCATTCTCTATAAGATTCTTCTCAACAACCGTGAATTCTTCTTCAATCTTAACTTCTGAATATAAATGTTCTTTGTTGAAGAACATTTTGACTAGACTCCATTTGCAACCGATTGGACAAAACCCCTGGCAAAGCAAAGCAGACCATAACACCATTATGGATAAAGTTTTATTTTGATACGATATCGGTAGCCCAAATTTTGCAGGCCGACCATAGATGTCAGGTGTGCGTCGGCAGAGGATCGAACTCCGGACCATGTGCATGATCAGCGAGAGTCCTAACCGCTGTGCCACCGACGTACTGTGGCTTGACCACCGATAGCTTTTTTCCAGCCAGACACCATGTCAACTAACATTGCTCGTCATTTGAGCAAGGCGATGACTAGGCATATGTAACACATGTCCTACACCATCTCAGTCGATGTAACTTCACAGCTTCGTCGTTTGATTTCCCCTCCTTATCTAGCAATCGACCGATGCCTAACCAATTCAATATTGCTCACCCTATTACGCCTATCACTTCACACGGTAGATAGAACCCTGGCACCTATGATCAAAGACAGCTAGCTAGCCGGGCTTTTCATGTCTTCCACTCTCAATGTCCAGGTCTCACAGCCATAAACGAGGACGGACCGGACTGCTGAGCAGTACACACCACATGTCATTCGGTAGACAGTCAGCCGAATATCATGTCTACTAAGCCACTGACGGCGTAAGCTAGCATATGTGAAACGAGCCCTCTGTATCCGTGCTGAGATTTCGTCAGAGATTAATCCGCTGGCACCGGCTAATGCAAATTGCCAAATAAGTGGTGTTCAACACGCTCTACCACTTCACTCCCTATTTCTAAGCTAGGAGTCAATATAGTCCAATCCTGTAGCATCATATTACATTTGGCGGGAGCGAATCGCGTGTCAAACATTCGAAGATTGCAGCTCGAGGAGTTCGGAAGACTCTGCTGTATTTTATCAGTGTCTTCATCGAGTTGGGAGGACTATATCATCTGCATATTCGAAGTCAACGAGATTATTCCCTGGTGGTAACAAGTCAATCCCTGAGTCGCTAAAGTCAGTCACTTAGGGTTAAGTCCATTAGTACACCTGTGATGAAATTGAATAGAAATAGGGATGGCGGGCGTCCCTGACGGACACCAAGAATTGTCACTACTTCAAATGACAACTCTCTATAGGCTCTCACCTGGCGAACTGCATGAGTTTGAGTAGAGTGCCTTGATCAGTCCAATGTATTTTCTCGACATCCCGTTTGCAGCCATGCATCGCCAGAGTACCTCTTGGTCGACAGAATCGAATGCCACCTTTAGATCAAGAAATATAACGATTGTTTGACGCCATCAGAAAATATGTCTATGTTCCAGAATCTGTCGAAGGGTGAGGGGAGATATGATCAATACACCCTCTTCTTGGTCTAAAGCCTGTCTGGTTCTCTCGTGTTTGTGCCGCCCGAGCACTACTCAGTCTACGCATGATTACTGAGTCAGGCTAATCGCCCTGTGATTATCACAGGAAGACTTGTCTCCCTTCTTGTATATGGGGATAATCAGTGACCTATACCTGAATGGGGAACGACGAGTTGGGCGTAGTTTTCAGGGGTGATAAAGATGAGATGAAAGCTTCTAGACCGGCTAAAAAGGATCGGAGGCAACAGGATGAAATGGAGATCGTCTGTTGAAGCCGTATGTTCCACTTTGAAATTTAGGGAATAATAATAATAACAACAATAAAGCAAGGGGGAAATAACACACACAACTCACATTCAAATCATGTCTTGCCCATAAATACAGTCGACAATATTCTTCAATACAATCTCGTGGAGGTGGTGGATTCATAACATGATGACGTGATTTCAACAAGAAATCACGTGTATCTCTTAACGGTGGCGCTTCCAGTGTTGAATCCACAGACAGGATAGCCTGTTCTAATTGACACAAGTGGAAAGTAAAAAAAAAATAAATAAATAAGGGGACATACAACTTTTATTATTATTACTGTTCCCTTGGGTTGGAACATAGGGCTTCAACCACACGTCTCCACTTGCTTCTGTCTTCAGCTGCTGTACTTTTCACCTGCATCCATCTTAGTCCATACTCTTTCATCTCCTCCATGTCACCCTTGCACTGACGTCCCACTCGCCGCTTCCCTTTCGGCCTGGTTCCACTCGAGCAATGGCCTGACGTGTGCGTGATGTCACCCAGTGGCGGCCTTCTCAGCCAAGAGTGTCCAATCCATCTCCACTTTGTCCTTCATATTTGTTGGTTGGGCGATTGGTTCTTGTTCTATTTGTTCCCATAGTTTCTTGTTGGTGATTCTCTCCGCCCCGGCCATCTGATCTTCACTATAGAGCCAGCGAAGACAGTTGTTGATAGAGGTCTGCAATAACCTGTTGGTTGGAAATATTCTTTGTGACCCGCCCGCCAAGTTTCTGATCCGTATAAAAGAACTGACTGACTTGACGTTGTTTGTATTGAAAATCTGACCGAATTTTCTTCTTGATGAATGTGTTTCTCGCTCGCCTTCCCGATTCTCGCTCGATTTGACATCTTCGTCCGTTCCAACTGCCTGTAGTTGTGACAATGCTTCCTAACTAGATAAGTGAAGTGAATGAAGTAACCTCTTTCAAATCCCTCCCCCCCCGTTGATGGTGATTGGCGCTGAATGGATGTTGCTGCTGCTGTTGTTGTTGGTTGGCTGGTTGATTATTTTCATAACCAACGCATAAATATGTATTAACCTCGCCTAGATTTACTAGTTCGCTAGTTTTCTAACCGGTCCCAAAAGACCGGATAAAGAAGGAGGGTTGGGGTGTGGGGCTAGCAACTCCACCCGCAAAACCTAACCAAACTGCTACAGAAACTTCAACTTTAATATATTTATATATTAAAAATATACAACTTTACTTACTTAATATCAGGAATTGATCAAGTGCTTTCGCTCGATACAGAAATGTCACCTCACCTATAATAATAATAATAATAATAATAATAATGATAATATGAAATATTAAGTATGTTGTGATGTATAGAATATTACCACTGGATGTGTATACGTCATAATTCTCTGCATAATGTGGACCAAACACCTGCGGTTCAGTGCGAACTTTTATAGTTGCATTGATTTTCTTTTCAATATTTGACTTCCAAACCTTTATCAAGAAAAAGGTAAGAATAAGAACAACAAAACAAAACAAGATTAAAGGCATAGAAAGGGGGGTTAGATAAAAATAAAAGGGGAGAAAATATGCCACGGATTGGTTTGAGTACACTGGATTAACAGCCATTAGGTGTTACTGGGGTTCAAGTCCCACTCTACCTACTGTAATCTGCGCAACTGACTATTATCATCAGCTTTAACAATATAAGTGTGACTCACAACTTAACTCCCATTAGAGATAAGATTTTATTTTGATAAAATCACAAAGTAAGTTAATAATTCCCATTGTAGGTAGCATTAAGAACACAATATTCAGCGAAGAGTCTCTTTTCAACAATGAATTTATTATCAAGCTATACAATCGTATATATATGGTTTTATAAAGAGATTATATCCGGTGGGGGAATTAGGTCAAAGGTGTGAATACATGAAATAATAATAGTAATAATAGTATGAAATGAAATTAAAATATTTGTCATTATAATCATATTTAAATGTCAAGTTGCAAAACAATTAATGTCATATATAGAATAATACATAAGGTATATAGATGTTGTTGGAAAGAGGAGCATAATTGTAGGATTGGTAGACGAATATAAAATGTTACATAACATGGTGTGATCAAGATCATATATAGAATCCATGTGTCTAGGTCAACAGGACTCATCATTAGAAATATGATCAGGTTTTTCAACTCCAATGTGAAGTCAGTGTTACTTACCACACGTATCAGAGACTTGGCGCGTCATAAAGAGCACCTAAAACAAACTACAGACATTTATCAACAGCTTCCTGTCTTCGCTCAATACTACTCAAGATCAGATAGCCAGCCAGAAAAGATTAGCAACAGGGATCTCTGAGAGCAAACCAATCAGGAATCGATTGTGCAACAAATAAACAGGAAGAAATGGAGGTGGATTGGATTGGCCATACTTTGAGAAAACCATCAAGCGACATCACTAGACAAGCCATTGCTCGGGTGGAACCCGAAAGGGAAGCGGCGAGTTGGTCGTTAGTGCAGGGGTGACTTGAAGGAGGTCATGTGAAAAGGAGATGAAAGCATGTGGGCAGACTTGGAGCGGGGTGAAAAAGTTGTCAGAAAACCGAAGGCAATGGAGACGCGCAGCTGAAGCCCTATGTTCCTCTAGGAATTAAAGGATATAATGATAAATATTAATAATGCTAGCTTCCCGCGTTTTTTTTTCGTTATAGACTTCTAAAGACAGCTGAGGCCTTGGCAATTCATGACTTTAAGCCAGCCACACCTTTGTGTACAAAAGCAGTACGCACAATCCCTACTTCTGTCTTGGACGTAGAAGAATAGACATTTATTTTTCTGTTTATTAGGTTATTCTACACACCTTTCCCTTCTTACTACGATTATTAATGTTATTATTATTACTACTATTCTTACACTAATTGTTTCCACTTGTCCCACTTGTCATTCTAAACACAAAATTATTATTTTTTGTTTTTACGATATTGAATTCTATCGTATCGAATTTCACACCATGTTATGTAACATTTTATATTCGTCTACCAATCCTACAATTATGCACCTCTTTCCAACAACATCTATACACCTTATGTATTATTCTATATATGACATTAATTGTTACGCTACTTGACATTTAACTACTATTATAATCACAAATATTTTAACTGCATTTCATATTACCACTATTATTATTTCATGTACACGTCGGTGGCACAGCTGTTAGGACGGTCGCCAACCATGCACATGGTCCGGGGTTCGATCCCCGGCCACAGATGCATTCCTTTACCTCGCCAAACGAGTAATAAAAAAAGCTGGTAAAGAGGAAAGTTTAAGCATGAGGCTACCAACCCCAGCCTGTAAAAATAGACATTGGTACAGAAACTTCAAGCCTCTAGCTTGGAGCCCTATTATATTCCACTGGGAACGTGAAGAATAAAAAAAAATATTTCATGTATTCACACCTTTGACCTAATTCCCCCACCGGATATAATTTCTTAAAAACCATATGTGCATATACGACTGTACAGCTTGATAATAAATTCGTTGTTGAAAAGAGTCTCTTGGCTGAATATTGTGTTCTCAAATCACACAGTAATGTTATACAGTAATATTTACTGATGACCACGTTTCGAGCACAAATGATTACTGTTCATAATCATACCATGTCACTACTCACACGACTTTTTGCTTCACTTATATACATGACAGTAAAAATTGATGATTAGATATTTGAATAAAAATCAATATGGGATAATGTACATTCAGAAATAATAATAATATGAGTGTTATCAATCAAATGCAATCAGATGGGAAATAAAACGAGTGTTTTTATAGTAAAATAAATAAGTAACTTGTTAGAATGTTATGATGTACGTGAATTGAAACAGAATTTTGAGATTATTTATTATCCTCTTCTGATTTGACTGACTGACTGACTGGTGGTAATAATATCTTCCATATTTCTGGTATTTGTATTGAGTCATTTCTGTTGCATTTCTTGTGTTGGGTGCAGACTCGATGAACCAGGCAGGATTCAGTAATCAATCTCTTTCTCCATCTACCTATATTCCTTTTAAGAATTTTGACTGTCCCACACACACCATTGTATGCTTGTATGTTAATCCATGCAGTGCAATCGCTGAGTTTGTTTTCTAAATTACTCATCTTCGTGGGATCAATCATTCTAACCTTAGCTAAATGTCCCGACAATCTGACTACCCCCGACCACTAGTTTGATTTATGTAGTTTATCTTAAAATTCTATTTCAATTCACGTACATCATAACATTCTAACAAGTTACTTATTTATTTTACTATAAAAACACTCGTCTTATTTCCCATCTGATTGTATTTGAGCAATAACACTCGTATTATTATTTCTGAATGCACATTATCCCATAGTGATTTTTATTCAAATGTCTAATCATCAATTCCGCTCATGTATGTAATTGAAGTAAGAAATTAGTGTGAGTGAGCGCCTTGATATGATTATAAGTGGCAATGATAAATTGTGCTGGAAACATCATCAGTAAATATTACTGTATAACACACTGTGTGATTTCTTAAAATAAAATCTTATCCATAATGGAGTTACACTCTACCATAGTGTCCAAGCGTTATGCTTATATCAATGATTCGCAGCTTAGAACTACAGTTTTAGCATCGTCGTATTTACGAACATCATCCAACATGGTTAAGCAAGGGACAAACAAGATCTATTCGTAGCTCTATTTTAGCACACCTCGTTGATACTGAGCACAAGGTTGATGTGAATACAGCATTTAAAATTATTTATCGCATTCCGACTAATCTTAATTTTGCTCTACGAGTTCGTCTTCTACATACAACAGCTGAAGCAATCGGAATTCACCTGAAGAAGCCAAGCCTCTGTGTACAGAAAAAATTTGTACAGCCACTTTCCCTACCGTGGCTATCGTCACAAGAATGCATAAACAGGACTACGTCGCCCCCCCTCCCCCTAAACCTATAAAAATTATAATTGTCTAAATTATTTATTTTATTTTATTTATTTTGAGCACTTCATCTTCAATTTACGTGTTATCCTTGTAAAATTATTTTTTATTCTATCCATTTCCACCTTTTAAATGTGTGTATGTTAATTTTCTTCGTTAATTATCACCCCACTGCTTGACATTTTGACACTGACTGACTAATTATTGTTAACAAACAAACATATCAGTGCCACTACCTGATTGGTAAATTGGTGTCTTTTGTAATTAAAATGCTATATATATTAAAGTACAACCAGAGATAAGGATCTAATTGAAAAGTAAATATTTCTTCGCTCAATCTTTCTGTTCAAATTCACTAAGGGGAATAAATGTATGAAAATTCGCAGCTTAGTTCATGAAAGACCTGACCTTGTTTAGTGAATTAAGACAACTGTAGCTTAGGTATTTCTAAGCAAAGATTTCAACATCAATCAAAGCGTCATTATTCAATGCTGTCGTCTTATAGGAGTTCTACAAAGCTATCAAAATGTTCAAAAATGAAAGAATTCGATCGCACCACTGAGAAAGAAACTTGTTTACAAAGTGTGTATAAATAAAGGATTCTTAGACGGTTAGAGGTAATCAGCAGGAAGCTATCGACCTGGACTTTGGTTTCACATGCTCGTCAGTGACACTCAACAGTCAGCAAGATATATTTTCAATCTTCAAGGCACTCATTTGCCTCCTGGGATTCGAACCCCACGTCACCCAGTGCTGTAGTCACAGGTGTTACTAGCACGGAGTAGCCTAACTAACCCTCCTGTAGGACTGTAATGGATGCGTCAGTTGGTCATCGGGAGAGTAATTAATGTCAAGCGTTTCGTTCATGGTTCTGGTTGGTGAAGACTGAATTCTATTACCAGTCGAGTTTGTAATGTGATAACCAAATTAGGAGGCTCACCATCGCAGTACAGTGAATTAGTTTTACATAGTTGCAGGTAATCGACGGGAAGCCCTACCTGAATTAGGATTCATACTGATAGAATTCATTCTACACTAAGATCGAAGGACTAAACGCATAGCATTGGCCACTATCTAGTGATAAATCAAAGTCTAGTGGATTCTATTGAAGAAGTGCAGAATGTTCTGGCGGATAAAATAACCCCATAAAACTTGGCCTGTAGTCAGAGTTTTATTTTGTTTTACCAACATACAAATTTGGCACATAATGGGCACCAAGAGATGAGCCACTCAAAACTTCATAGTTTGTAAGATACTGCCTAGACGCCCAAACTGAATCAGATGGTTGCCTTAATCGATTAGCTTCAGAGTCTTTCACTAGGAGCATTGGCAGAAGCTGAGCTCCTATGGTTTCCTGTGACAGAAATACGTTCATACGCTATTCGCTCTTTTCGAATTCTGGAGCCCATATAAACCACCATAGGTTTGGAAGCAGGGTTTTTCATCTCCCTTAGGTAGATCTGTACATCCACCAGTCCGGTTGTTCCTCTTTTATAGCTGTGAGTGAGACCTGGCCATTGAGAATGGAAGACATGAAAAGCCCGGCTAGCTAGCTGTCTTTGATCATAGGTGCCTGCGTTCTATCTCTCGTGTGAAGTGATAGGCGTAATAGGGTGATCAATATTGAGGTAGGAAAGTGTAGAATACCTGACTAACTGGTTGGGGTCCTCGGGACGGTAAAAACCAATGAAGGCTGGAGACAATCGGTGATATGGCTCAAAGTGATCGTTCTCAATGGCTGGCGCAGATGCATCCACTCCTTGTGACTTATAATATTCAATGAAACTATATTATTCTTCGTTATTACTATTCCTATTGTCCCATATCCCTATCTACTGTCTCTTTCATGCACTTTTTCTTTCTTCTCTTGATTTGTGTACTACAAGGAGGGAGTGTGACGACTTGAACTGCTGCACATCGGTGGAAAGTTCTATGTCGGAAACAGACAAACAGACAGTCCGTTGTAAGCAGCAGACGTTCGAATTAGCCCTTCCACTTTTATGACGAATGCCCCGTTCCGTATGAAAGCCGTGAGCAGGACTTACTTGACAAAGAGGCTATGAGAGCTTGGCTGCATGACAGCATTTTGAGAGGAAGACCGAAATCCACCAGGTCATTATTTGTGGCGGTCTGTGACAAAGGTGGTTTATATGATGAGATACAGTAAACAATACACATCAAAATTAACATTAAAAATTACCTTTGGCAAACCTTGTCCACAGACTGTATACGTGGTACGTCCTACACGACCTTTACGTCGAGCTATTCGCCTTTTCACAACAATCAATATACTAATAATGATAATAGCACCAATGGCTAGAAGCACCAAGAATAGTGCCAATGCAATATGCTGTGTTTGCATTGTACATATGGGTTATGATACTAAGCAAGGGTGAAAATCTGTTTTCTACATTGAGAATACAACACTGTGTAGTTCAGAGGATCTAAAATTTCATTTAGAAAACAAAAACAAGAATAAATTATGGAATGTAGGGGGAATTAGATTACTGCACAGTTCTGAGTTTAAATTGTTTTAAAATGTTCATACTACTACTGTAACAACAGAAGACAAGGGCCAGGCAACAGATCGTTTTATTATGAAAATCAACACGTATTTATACATCTTTCAACTACATTATTATAGACAAGCGCAGTCATCTGATTGGTTGTTTAGGTAGACAAACGCAGGCTTCTGATTGGTTGTTTCGGGATTCCTTGACAAATAGAGTTCTCTCTGCGAATCATATTCTGCCACGTTAACTTTGCTGTGATTGGTTGTTGACTCAGGCTTGTTCATATTTTCTCACGGCCCATATTAGTGACCTGGACCTTAACGTAGATTAGTGCCAACCAATCGGCTAGCAGCCTGCTCTCACCACACTCGTCCCCCCGTCAAATACGTGCGACTGAAGTCGGCTTGATCTACTTGGTGCAGGCGTCATCGTTGGCTTGTCTCGCTGTATCCATTTCTGGAGCTCGCTGACGTTCACGCGCCTCTCATTGTTCGCCATTGCGACTGTGTCTGCGTAACCCCATCTCGAAGTGACCATATATGGTCCTTCCCACTTTGGAAACTGTTTGCCTGACCCTGTCGAACATTCGTCCATACTTCGGCCCACACCTTCATATGCTGCTTTCGCCCGACCTCCCAGCAGCGTCTCAAGTAGCAGCTCCATCGCTGACAGATCTTGAACGCCACTCAACTGCGCAGAAGCCTTGAAGTCCTGCCCGAAGATCCATATGTCTCCATCAAAAACTGCAGGGTATAGGCTTTTCATTTGTCGGTAGGCAGCGACACCAAATGTAACAACAGAAGACAAGGGCCAGGCAACAGATCGTTTTATTATGAAAATCAACACGTATTTATACATCTTTCAACTACATTATTATAGACAAGCGCAGTCATCTGATTGGTTGTTTAGGTAGACAAACGCAGGCTTCTGATTGGTTGTTTCGGGATTCCTTGACAAATAGAGTTCTCTCTGCGAATCATATTCTGCCACGTTAACTTTGCTGTGATTGGTTGTTGACTCAGGCTTGTTCATATTTTCTCACGGCCCATATTAGTGACCTAGACCTTAACGTAGATTAGTGCCAACCAATCGGCTAGCAGCCTGCTCTCACCACACTACTACTATTTTGCAAGTAGTTAAAAAATTACCTGAGGATTTATTATTTGATATCATTGAGTATGTCGACAGAGTTAGCTAAAACAGAGCAGAGAATAGGAGAACGAAACTTATCACATCATTAGACAGTTAAAATCCTGAAAACGATTCCCCTTCATTCCCTTCAGATCCTTATCGGTACGTCCATAATTTTTCAAGTGTAACACTAGATAAATTACAGTTCGAAGCTCTATCATTGGGTCGTAGGTTTTGTGACCAAGGATATAAAGTCAATCAACTCGATACCGATATCCAGTTTGAAAACCTCCTGCTACAAACAAAAGATTTGACCCCAACGTCAAACGATGAAGTCGCTAGGTTTGAAACTACACTAGTTGATAGTTGTCAACAGTATAAAAACAGTAGTCATTCTAGTAAAAGCTTGCTGACTAACCAACATCGAGAAGTCCTAAGAAAGTTAAGGAACGATGAAAGCATTATAATCAGTAGACCTGATAAAGGAGACGGAGTAGAACTGATGAATAAGTGTGATTATGTTGACAAAATGAATTCGCTTATAACGGATGAAAAGAAGTTCGAAAACCTTATTAACCCAATAGATCTGGACGAAAAAGCTGAAAAGCAGTTAACTAACACGCTTAAGGAGCTCAGAAAAATTGGAGTAATCTCAGAGGCAGTCTACAACTGTCTTAATCCTACTGGAAGTAATACTTCACGTCTGTACGGTCTGCCTAAAGTACGTAAACCAGGAATTCCTCTTCGCCCAGTCCTAGACATGTCTAATTCCACCTACCGTGGAGTGGCAAAGTGGCTAGATGAAGTCCTCCAACCGTTACACAAGATGGTGGTAAATCAGTATTAAAGACGTTTTTGAATTTATTGCTAACGTGGATGATATCTGTGTAAATCGGAAGCAAATGCTTTCCTTAGATGTAGCATCAATGTTCACCAATGTACCACTTATGGAGACTGTGGAATTCATATGCCAACAGATACTAGAAAAACAGTTCGATATCGGAATTCCAGTTATTAGTCTGAAAGAGTTGCTTTTAAGATGTACTATGAATGTACACTTCACATTCAACAGCCTTTATTACAGACAAATCGACTGCATTGCCATGGGTTCTCCATTGGGGCCAATGTCGGCAGATTTCTTTCTTGCTAAGCTTGAAAATGGTCCGTTGAAACAAGTAATAGATAAAACGGATTCTTATTTTCGTTATGTTGATGATACGTTTATTATTCTTGGTGTGAAAGCTGACAAGAATGAAATGTTAATAAAATTTAATGATGCACATGCATCACTCATCTTCACTTGTGGAAAAGAACATGATGGTAGACTACATTTCCTTGACATTCAATTGAACAGAAGACAGGATGCTTCACTCAAGAGAGGTGTGTCTGCAGAAAACCTACATCTTCAGGACAATATACACATTTCCTCAGTTATGTGTCAATCCGATACAAAGTCAATTTGTTCAGATGACTGACGAATACAGTGAGACGTATCTGTACAAATAACTCCCTAGAAAATGAGCTAGGATACATCCAAAATACGTTAGTTCAAATGGGTTATCCTAGTAGATTTGTAAGGAGACACATGAATACCAGGTACAATAAAGAAAAACTGACAACAGTTAAAAAGAAACAACTGTTCATGAAACTGCAATTTAAAGGGGACATGGCTAGCGAAGTCTTACATCAGAGATTATCGAGAGCGATAAAACGGACTTATACTGCCACCATCCGCTGTTTGTCATTTTCCAGCCGACCAATTATGATTGCTTAAGTGAAAGATAAGCTACCTACCTGTGCCACTTCTATGTGTATCTATAAATGTAGTTGTTCCTGTGGACAGAGCTATATAGGGCAAACAACTAGACAGCTTAACAAACGCATTAATGAGCATCTTCCTTCATGGTTCAGAAAAGGTCAAATATAATCCATACGAAGTTCTATTTTGGCTCATTTGATTGATAGCGGTTACCAAGTGGACGAAAATAGCGCCTTCAAGTTATCTATCGCATTCCATCGAGTCTTTCGAACGGAATCAGAACCCGTCTTTTACACATAGCCGAAGTTATGGGAATCAATTAGAGAACGATTCTAGTGTCTTTGCATACAACAAAAGAAGTTTGTTCTACCTTTGTCTATCCCTTGACCTATGTGAATTCTATTCAAAACCCTCCCACCCTTTCTTATTTTCCATTTCCTTCGTATTTTTATGATATTTATTTAAACTCTGATTATATCTCTCCACTTCATTTTTTAAGATTTGACCTAATTTAAATTGAATTGTCTACATATACACATATCACTACCTTTGTTTTTCTTATCGCCACCTGCATAAACCTTATTATCAATATTTTCTTATCATTATAATCATCGTTATTAACTTCGTTCAAAACATTTACCACATTATTATTAATATTTGATCCACAAAATCACCGTCATTGGTTAAAAATTTTTTATATATAAATCTTTATAAATTAGATTAAGGCCTGAAGAAGATCTAATTGAAAACAATATTGCTCGCTTATATGTCTTGTTCTACTATTATAAATGGGAATATTTAAAGATTAAAAAAAATTAACGCAAAGAAACGTAGAATGATATGAAATGAATCATTAGCAAGCACAACAACATAAGAGCGAAATAATATAAAAGATTTGTAGCTCAGGTGGATGATGTGCAACTAATGATGTTCTCTGAGCTGGTTGGTTTAGTTGCGGCTGTTTTCGTCATCCTTCTGGACGACATCCTCTTTCAGCGCAACTTTTGGCATAAAGTGAACCCATTTGAAATTTTTCATGAGTGACAGAATTGCGTCTCCCGGTAACCATCTTTACATATGTATTGATCATTTTTTTATTGATTTGGATTTTAAACTCTCTCGTCACATGTGATTTACTTTTTATTAGTTGGTATATCTGGTCTACATTGACATATTTGTTAATTGCATATTCATTTGAGTACCAGGCTTCTAGGAATTCCCTGGCATTTTTGGTGCTTTCTCTGTCTAAAACTTCAACATTATCTAAATCAAACTGATGTCCATAATTATCTACATGCATTGATATGAAACAGGAATATATATCATGTCTTTTCACAGCTAATTTGTGTTCCTGGATTCTGATTCGAAGCGGACGCCTACTTTGGCCAGTGTATTGTCTGTTACAGTTCATACAGGCAGTTTATTTTGTAAATGGTATTGTAATTTTATCTTCTTTTTCTGTTTTGTGGGTCTTTTGGTTTGCACAATATCGAATGAAGTGACTGTGCTGGCTGGCTGACTAGATTGTGTGCTACATCTGTTTCAAACGGTTTCAATATTCTAGTTGTTATTTCAGAGATATTTTTTTCTGATATATGGTAGGATGAATTTTCTTATGGCTTCTTTGATGATGGTTCCTTGTTGGTGCTGTGATTCAATTTTAAACACTTTTTGATGAAATTTTGTGGTTAACCATTCTGCTTTTTGAAGACCGTTATTAGGTATTTCTCCTCCATACTCTTCAACGCTGGAGTAATAAAACGTGTTTGAATTAGAACGTGTTTGAGTAGAACATAGAACACACTCACACCTCCTAACCTCGCTGAGTTTACTAGCCGGTCATAAGCTAGGGAAAAGAGGGAAGATTAGGTGTGGAGCTAGCAAACCTACTCTCAGGGAATCAGTCCGGTCGCTAAAGAAACTATAAAGCTCGGGCCAAAGTTAAACTATCATAGCCAAAACCACAGTGACCTTGAACAACGAACCAATCAGAACCCAGAAACAAAAAAGTAGCACAATCTTTGGAAAATACACTACAAAA